AGACAGCCTCTTTTAATAAATGGTGCTGGGAAAACTTGATATCCCTATATAGAAAATTGACACTATAATTCATCTTTTACCTGGTGCAAAAATAGTCTCAACATAACATATCAACATCACTTTAAAATGAATCAAAGATCTGAAAGTATAATACCTGAAACTTTGAAACTGCTGGAAGAACAAAAGAAGAGGGAAATACATGAAGTCATGAGCACAGACAAAGCCTTCCTGAACAGGACTCCAAGAGCACACGAAATCATAGCAAGAATCTGCAAATGTGATTACATCAAATTAAAAAGCTTCTGCACAGCAAATGAAACAGTGGAATGAAGAGATAGCCTACAGAATGTGGAAAAAAACTTGCCAGCTAATCTTCTGACAGGATTAATATCCACAATAAAGAACTCAAAAAAGTTAACATAAAAAAAAGCCTATTCAATAAATGGGCAAATGAACTGAACAGACACTTCAAGAGAAGAAGTATGAATGGTCAGTAAGTATATGAAAAAATGTTCAACTTCTCTAGACACCAGGGAAATGCAAATCAAAGCTACCCCAAAATTCTATTTACCTCAATCAGAATTCTATCATTACGAATACAAAAAATAAATGCTGGCAAGGATGCAGAGAAAAAGGAACTCCACTGTTGGTGAGAATGTAAGATTAGTACAGCCACTATGGAAATGAATATGGAGCTTGCTCCAAAAACTAAAATAGAGATGCCATTTGTTCTAGTTTTATTACTCCTTGGCATATTCCTGAAAGAATTAAAGTCTGCATACTAAAGAGATACTTGAATGCCCACATTTATTGCAGCCCAATTCACAATAGCTATGCTATGGAACAGCGTAGGTGCTGTCAACAGATGAATTGATAAATACAATATAATCTTATCTGTCTGTCTGTCTGTCTATCTATCTATCTATCTCATAATGGAGTACTATTCAGCCATAAAGAATGAAATCATGTAATTTTCAGGAAAATGGGTGGAATTAGAGATCATGTAAGATAAGACAGGCTCTGAAAGACAAACATTGTATATTTTCTTTTCATTTGTGGAAGTGGGAAAGGCATGTTAGAAAAGAAGAAAGGGGAGGACAAGGGACAAGGGGTGGAAATGATCAAAGTATGATATATGCATTATGAATCTGCATTAAAAAACCCCATGTTTCTGTTGAACTAATAAGTACCAAAAAAAAAAAACCCCAAGAAAACAAAAGCCTCAGCTCTAAGATACTTCTGAGATATGAAGAATGAATATATATAAAAGGATTAAATTCTAGTATTCTATAGCACAGTGACTACATTTATAATAATTGTTTTTTGTTTTGTTTTTGTACTGGGGATTGAACTTGGCCCCTTGCGCTTGCAAGGGAGGTGGCGGAAGCACTGAGCCAAATACCCGGCTTATAGTAATTTATTGTATATTTCAAAATAGATAAAGAATTTTGAATGTTTCTAACATAAAGATAAATATTTGAGGAGATACATATGCTAATTGCCCTGATCAGGGCACACTGTGAAAATATGACACTGTACCCTACAAATATGTACAATTACACATTGATTAAAAATTTAAAACTTAAGAATAAGTTTGTTATGATGTAAATGTAACTAGAGTTGAAATTAAGATACCCACCTTTATGACATAGATTGTAAATACAAAATAATTGCTTTCTTGGACTATGCAACTATGACTTGGGCAAGTAGGATTTTGCTCCGGTCCTAGTCAATAACAATCAGTGGTGTGTGTATGTGTGTGTATACAGGGCTGCTCCCTCTGGACATAAAAGGTACTTCATTACTCTTTAGATAAGTGAAGGTATACATTATTCTTTGGGGCACTGGATTCTGTACATTAACATTTTATTAAAAGCTTTATGCTGATATTTATAAATTGTTAGTTAAGTCTGTTTTAGATGCTCTATATCAAGTTCTGAAATATTCATATTAAAATAATTTATAACTTTTTAGGCTGGGGATATAGCTCAGTGGTACAGCTCCTGCAAAGTCCCAGATTCTATCCCAGCACCTCAAAAAAAAAAAAAAAAGAAGAAGAAGAATTTATAACTTTTAAAAAACTTACAGTGGTACCTTGGCACTTGTCATTAATTGGTCCAAGAAGACAAGAGAAGTAAGAAAAATGACAAATACTAAACAAAATTCTTTGGACTGGAAAGGGTGTCAAGCCATGAAGCAATTGACATTGATCAGTTGTAGATGCACAATGAGCAAAAACAAAAGAATCCAAGGACAAATTTTCACATCAAAATGAGCGAGTTCTATGAGCTTCAAAGCAGGTGAGTACTATGATATAACTGTATTGAGCGGATAACATCTCATAAATTTTATCTTTTTATGAAAGTACTTATTATTATTCCCTTGTGCTTATATTAGGAGTAAGAGGTGCATAACTTTGATGCCTGACGGACAGTATTTCTTCTACTTTAGCTGGTCTCTTTATATTTTCAATTTTTTTAGGAGTCAGTTTTGGTCTGTTCAAGAATATCATCAATTTTATCTATGTCTTCATATTTATTTGTACAGTCAATGTTTACAATTTCATCAGTTTCTGTGACTGTTTTTTCATTTTATGTATTTCTCCCTGATAAATTATATTTAAAAATTCCTAATTTTGTTCAACACTTTGGGCTAAAATCTTCTGAAATTAAAAGCTGTTAAATGTCATATGAATCAGAAACTAGTCTCTCAGAAATACTGAAGAAGTAAGTATAAGGACTACTTTCTGGGTCATAGCTATACAGTTACACACAAAATAAGAAAGGCCTATTATTAAAATATACATTATAATTTCTAGCACAATGGCAGTTATCTTAGAAAGGTGTAGTTCCCCAAACCATCTGTATATGTGCTGCCGAAGTGAGCACACCCCAAACCATCTGGTAGATCACAATATAGTAAGATGTTGGTCTAAGAGGTAAATACATGAACTATTCTAGCACCAATATGCTCAATTCTCAAACTAGTGTATCCTGTTTGTACATACTGGCACAATTGCTACTAACAACTGAGTAAGTGCTATGTGCATCCCCCAAACAAACAGATATAAAAACCCCTCATTTCCTTTAACAGTGAGTTAAAATAATTAAGAACAATTTATAAACATAACTAATAAGAATTAGTTGTGTTCAATGACTTAAGGTACCCAAAATATGAACATAATGTGACCTCAAAAATCTACCGATGGAAGAGCCTTTTTAGCATGCCAAGTGTTCTACATAATCAAAGAACTGAGGTTTTATTTTATTGGTTTCTTGAGACAGGGTCTAGCTATGTAGCTCAGGCTGGCCTTGAACTTGAGATCCTTCTGCCTCAGTCTCCTGAGTGTTATGATTACAGGCTTATTCTGCTATGACTGGCTAAGATTTTAGTTACAAATCAAACCATCACCTCGAATTTTATCATTTTAACAACCAAAATTGATATTATCATCTTAAAATATGATACTAGGAAATTACAGATAATTTTTTAGTATACTATTTTAATAGAAGTGTACTATTTAAACAATTAGTTTTCAAAGTTTGGTCTCAGGACACCATTACAGTGAAAATCTGAGGTACAAGATCCCAATGATGAATGAACTGTACTGTATACCTAAAATGTACCAATAAACTCCATGAGGAAAAAAATGAAAAGAAAATCTCAGAGTTTTTTTAAATGTCAGTTATAACTATTGATGATTACTACATATTATAATTAAGAACTTTAAAAATTTCACTCATTTAAAAATAATGAGAGGGTCATGGTGGCTGTAACCCCAGTATTTGGGTGGCTGAGGCAGGAGGATCATCATGGGTTTGAGGGATACACAGTGAGTTCAAGGCCAGCCTGGACTACATAATGAAAATTTTAAAAACCCACTTCTTTACTATCTGGCTTAATATGGAAAAAACTGGCCTTCCATATTTGCATATACATTCAGTCTGTTGCAATACATTGTTTTAGTTGAAGTATGTAAAGACAGTCTGGCCTCCATACTGATATATGGTTGGAAAAAGGAATACCTCAGGACTTCTTGAAAAGGTGTTGGGGATCCCACTTTGAAAGCCACTAGATTAAGTTTTATATACTCATATAGTATAGGGTAATGTTTCATTTGTGATGTTAAAATTCCTCCTCCATTAAAAATTATGGTATAGTAGCAGAATTCAAAACAAGGTTTTAAATCTACTTTAATCTTTATGCTAATGTTGAATTATCATATTATATATATTTCAGTATTTGAATTATACACAGCAGAGATCAAACAAGTTGCAATCTCACTTGCTTATTGACTCTAAATTTTTCTCTCCTTTTCTCTAGAGTAGCTGTTTCGATGTGCTCAAAAGCTAATTTCACACCTATAATTTCTCTAGACTTCTACAGATGCGTCTACTTCCTATTTCCTTGAGAATGCCTTCAGAATAGAAGTCTATCAATCTCAAGCCAGCAACACACAAACTTAGGTGTACTTTATTTTTCACCTTTGTGCCTGTTAAAACAGAAGCACTATTCTTTCTTCAGTTTAAAACTATTCTGCTCACTACATACAGTGACTTCTATATGATTAAAAATAACAAGATTAAAAAGAAAACTCCCTTTAACTGAACTATTCTGATTAACTCAAAGATTTCTAGGCTATGCCAGGCCTGTGTTTAAGAAGGTAGACCCCCATTTCTTTTACCCTATCACTTAGTAAGTATATCCCGCTGAAAAATAATTTGATCCCTAATAATTCAGGACCTTTAGATACACTTCAAGATAAGCATTATCCTTAGAAGTCATCTTATTTGTACTGATTCCAGATTACACAGCAGAAATCCTTAAAAAGATTTTAATTGTAATATTTTTTTTCTCATTTAATTCTATCACTAAAAGAAAACAAGAAGGGATTCACTGTTGGAGTGTTCTCTTTTAATTGTCCTGGTTAATGGAATTTCACATTCAATCATCTGTCAGTTCTTTTCCATATAGAGATTTATAGAACTATTCACTTTTACCTTAACTGGGAAGCTACATTTTCCAGTGCGAACCCCTTCTTCATCTGTCTGCCACTGGTGTGGACGACTGGCCTCTGGAACATAAACATCTTTCTTTCTCCTAAAGCTTTGACGTAGTTTGTTCATTTTAATTTTTACAACCTGCAGACAGCAAAATAAATATTAAAAAGTTACCTTTTAACATATTTAAACTTTAGATTACCAAAATGACCAAAATTAAAGGTTTTAGTAAGAAAAATAAGCAATTGGTACACTTCTTCTTAGAGTAACACCAAGTTCAAACAAAACATTTTACTTAAAAAAACAAACTACAATACTAGTCCTTATAAAAACCACAATAACTTCTAGTAGGAGAGAAATGCTATTCTAACAAATTTCAAGCATTTTAATTATAATAAATCAACAAAAATTTTCACTACCAATCTACCACTCAAATCCATTCTCACTTGTGAAAGTGGAAATTTGTTTATGTTGGCCAGATATAGACTCCTAACAATTTCTGAAAACTTTCATACTTATTAGAGGAAAAAAACATTCTGGTATATTGAAATTTGAGGCTCACTTTGGCCTACTATTAGAAGACATCAAACAAAACAGGGACTGTAATCATCTTTTTACAAACAACTGTTTTATCAAGAGGAATGAAACATTCCTTAAATATTAAAAAAAAAATAAAAAAGTCCTACTAGGACTTGAAACCAGTATTATGACATCAGAATTTACATTCACATCTGCAATTAGTACAGTAATCTAAAGAAACAATGTGTGCCGGGCATGGTGGCACACCCTGCAATCCCCGCACTCGGGAGGCTGAGGCAGGAGGATTGCTGTGAGTTTGAGACCAGCCTGGGCTACATAGTGAGTTCCAGGTTAGATTCAACTACATAGTGAGACCCTGTCTCAAAACAAAACAAATAAATAAATGAAAGAAAGAAAGAAAGAAAGAATGGGAAGGTTCTAAGTTTCATAATTAACTGTATAAATTTAAAAGTGTTAAACTACTATAAGTTTTTGTTGCTGGAAGAGACACCTCTTGAATACTGCCAAAGGTTCAGTAGTAATTACAAAACTATAGAGAAATAAGACTTAACAGATAACAATATTGAAATAATGAATAAACATTAGAGTAAGTGCCCATTTACAGAGCAAAATCTCAATATGTGAAACTAATGCCTCCAGTTTTATATTAAGGAGCATGGCTCATTCTCTTCCAGAGGGATTTAAGCACCTCAACTAGCCTCAAAGTGACCTTAACTAGAAAAATGACATAACAAAATAAACAAAACTGCAGTCTCTGTCACAAGTGTTAATTCCCACATGACACCAATAAAGGACATGAGGGTCAAAGTTTGCATGAGACAGGGTCTCACTATGTAGTTGAGACTGACCTGGAACTCACTATGTAGCCCAAAGTTTGCTTACTAAATAAAATTATTTTGTATTTTAAAACACATAATATCACAGGAGAACTATTACTAAATTAGCCAATTTACACAGGCAAGCCAATCTTACTATACATCTTAGGTAAAAATTCTGACAGTGTAAAATTCCCTGCTTTTCTAAAAATGAATTTAAACAGATCATTTTTTTTTTTTTTTTTTTTTTTTTGAGACAGGGTCTCACTATGTAGTTGAAAGACTGACCTGGAACTCACTATGTAGCCCAGGCTGGTCTCGAACTCACAGCGATGCTCCTGCCTCAGCCTCTTGAGTGCTGGGATTACAGGCGTGCACCAACACGCCCAGCTAGATCATTATTCTTAAATGACCTACATAAGTCTACCTTTATCTAGTAGATTTTCAAAAGGAATTACATAATCTTCCTTGAAAATATACCTTGTTACATTTTTTGTTTTTTGTTTTTTGAGACAGGGTCTCACTATGTAGCTGAGGCTGGTCTCCAACTCACAGCAATCCTCCTGCCTCAGCCTCCCAAGTGCTGGGATTACAGGCATGCACCACCATGCTCAGCTCCCTGTTACACTCTTTCTAATCACTCCTTTTTTTTTTTTTTTTTTTTTTTTTTTGGTACCGGGAATCGAACTTGGGTCCTTGTGCTTGCAAGGCAGGTGGCAGAACCACTGAGCTAAATCCCCAGCCCTACAAATCACATTTTAAAACTACTATATACAGGGGTTGGGGTTGTAAACTCAGCAGTAAAGCAGTTGTCTAGCAAGGGTGAGGTCCTGGGTTTAATTCCCAGTACCACTTAAATAAATAAATATACCCATGAAGAAAATAAAAACCATCTGTAACCTTGTTCAAGTTGGCATCACTGACAGAAAGTTATATAATTTTTTCTTAAAATCCTTCTTTTAGTAAAGACAACTACCTACCTACCACTACATTTCCACTTGGCCAAGCCAACCACCTAAAATCATCCCTTCATTCACCCTCTGGTCTGTAACTCCAGTGATTTTACCTCCTCCGCAACTCTTGAATTCAAACCCTCTCTCCATACCAGGCCCACTAGTCCCAGACAGACAAATTTAAATGAAGTTTAAACTATACCAAAAGCCTACTGTTTGGTCTCAGCTTCCAATCTGTTCTGACTACTGATAGACTGTTTCCTAAAACATAAATCTGACCATGCAACTACTCTACTTAGACTCCTTCCCTTGCAGCTGGGCATGGTGACATGGATGTGTGGCAAGACTGGCTTGCCTGTGGAAACCAGCTAATTTGGTAATAGTTCTCCTGTGGTATTATGCATGGCACTCTGGGAGGGAGAGGCAGCGAGACGCAGCAAGATTCAAGGTGGAGCCCAGCTTGGGCAACTGAATGACTTAGTGAAACCCTGTCTCAAATTTTAAAAAGGCTGGGCATATAGTTCAGTGTGAAGGTTCTGGGTTTAATCCCCAGTACTAGGGGTAAAAAATTCTACACTTGCGTCAGAATCCCTTCAAGATAAAGTCCAAATTGCTCAGCATGGCAAACACAGTCCGTTTTCATCTGGCTTCTCTCACCAGTTCTCATTTGCATACTAAGGTCCAGTTCTCAAAGTATGCCTTCTTTCCACTCCAGATCCTCTGTATGTGTTCCTAGTCTGCCTAGAAAGAAAGAACTTTCTCTGTTTGCCTCTGGTTAAAGTCAATCTATCTTTAGTCAGCTTGAGAATTAACGTTTTGTTTTGTTTTGTTTTGTTTTGTTTTTTGGTTTGTTTGTTCATTTTGTTTTTTGAGACAGGTCTCACTATGTAGTTGAGACTGACCAGGAACTCACTATGTAGCCCAGGCTGGTCTCGGACTCACAGCGATCCTCCTGCCTCAGCCTCCTGAGTGCTGGTATTACAGGAGTGTGCTACCACGCCCGGAAGGAGTTAACCATTTTAAGGAAGCTAGAATTACCTGACTTTGGTTTACTTCATGTAACTCTCATTAATACTTTACGTTGACTTGTGTTATTGCACTCATCAAACTCTATAGCAACTTATATTTCTTTAATGGTAGGTTGTCCTGTGTTTGTTTAAAAGGTATCCTGGCACCTTTAACACAGTGCCTGTTATATGTGGCATATTATATATTTGAAGAAATCAAAGATAAAATAGATCATCATGGTACAGGTCACTTGCTAGGTACAAGTTTAGACACACAAGACCAGCAATCAGTGTAAGAAGAGACCGCAGATTTAACAGTCCAGTTTCCAGCTGACAAAGCAACCACTTTGACAACTTCCTTTAAAGAAGGACTCCAACCTCGTCTAAATAAATCTAGCATAAGTTTATTTGCCTTCTACACAGCTATTTATTGTTGTACTATTCTGTTGCTGAATAAGAGAAAAGACTGCAAATATTAACCAATTGGATCTAAATATCTTCTCATTTTAGTATGCAAATGGTTTGCTATCAGCTTTCATGTGAAGTATTACATATTAGTGATTCTCAAATTATGCTTCAAGCACTTACAATTTCCATGAAAATAGCCCAGTGGCTACTGGTTATTTGGAGGGAAAGAAAAACAGGCTGGAAGACTGGACATAACTTTCAGGAAAATGTTCAGGTCCCTCTAACAGTCGAAACAGGCGAGCTCCACTTTATTTGATTTACAAGTTTGTGTTCTACATAAAAGTCTAAAAAACAGTTTCACACCTAGAATATTTTTTCATTAATTTTATTGGTACATTTCAGGTATAAAATATAATGACATTCATTACTGGGAGTTTGTATCTTTACATAATATATCTTGGTTCTTATTGTTTTCCCCGTTCCCCTACCCTCTCTTCAAACCCTCCACCCCTCCCTATTTAGGAAGACTTTGTTTCCATTTCTCATATTTATTTCTTTCCCCTACCCCTCCCACTTCCCCTTCTCTTTTGGACCTTTTCTTCCTGTTTTATATTATCTATTATACATTTGGATCTTTACACTTTCAGTTTCTCACAGCAGAGAAACTATTCAATACGTACATATCTGTGTTCTATTTATTTCACTTAAGAGTATGGCCTCAACGTGCATCCATTTAGCTATAATATCTCTAGTTTCTCGTTCTTTATGACTGAGTAGTATTCTATTTTATATTTAAAAAACCCCACGTTTTCTTTATCCAGTCTCCAGTTGATAGGCACTTGGGGTGTTTCCAAGTTTTAGCTATTACAGACTGTGCCGCTATGAACATGGGTGTACATATATCACTGTGGTATGATTTTTAAAATTCTTTTGGTAAGATACCCAGCAGGGGAATAACAAGGTCAAATGGGGTCTCTAGTTCTAGTTCTGAGAGGTATCTCTACACTGATTTCCACAGTGGTTGTACCAGTCTACACTCCTACCAAGAGTGGAGAAGGGTTTTCTCCCCAAATCTCCACCAACATTTGTTATTGGCTGATTTCATGATAGTGGCCATTCTTTCTGGGGTGAGGTAGAATCTCAGTGTTTTCATTTACATCTCTTGAATGACTAGTGATATTGAACATTTTTATATGTTTATTTGCTATTTCTGTACTTTGAGAAATGTCTGCTCGTTTCAGATGCCCATTTTTGGACTGGGTCTTTCAATTTGGGAGGTCTGAGTAAAGACCTCTACTCTGAAAACTACAGCACTCTGAAAAAAATGATTGAAGCGGTTATGAGAAAATGGAAAGGCCCTTGCTCCTGGGTAGGAAGAACCAATACAGTGAAAATGGCCATACTTCCAAAACGGCTAT